GGTAGAATTGAAGCATTTATACAGAAAGTGGAGGTAAGTAGATCTGAAATATATTCTGACAATATACATGGGAGGGGAATTTAAATGAAAATAAACTTGGTAACTTGGTGCCTTAGCACCACTCGACACTTTGAAATGTTGACTTTAAAGAGATACTTCACAGTAAAGTTTCTCTAAGACAAATTTCCCTTGCAGACCTCAGGTGGTACCTCTACATTTATATTATTTTAACATTATTTACTTTATTTTTTTTCTCATAAACTCAAAGTTCACCACAATTTCTCATGGGGTTTCTAGTTTCTAGCAATTTTTCGTGGAGCTTCTAGCAATTTTTCATGCAGCCTCTAGCAAATTTTCATCGAACCTCTAGCAATTTCTCATGGGGCTTCTAGCAATTTCTCATGGAGCCTCTTAGCAATTTTTCATGGATCCTCTAGCATTTTCTCATGGCAACCCAAGCAACATACAGTCCATAAATTTTTACTCTAAATGTGATTATTGAAATGTCAGACCATCACTTAATTCAGGGAATCATAGTTTATCTACAATATGAACATTTTAATTCCTTGCACGTTTCAAATGATGTCCATCAGGAAATTCTAGAATCCATGTCCAATGATGAGTTTAATAAACATGTCACGGCCTTGTCATCAAAGCGTCTTGAGAAACCCAAGAAACTGGTCCAACAAAACAACAAATATTGGACTGAAATCATCTCAAGTTTTTATAACTTTGACAGAGGTGAGTCTTTTCTTACTTTCGATCATGATAATTATCATTTACGTCGTTGGATGGCCTACCCAAAATTTTAAGGCAATCAGTTCTAACTGCCTAAAGGTGTATGAAAACATGAGTAGCCATAATTTGTTTTCCCCAGGGTAGCACCTTGTTTTTACTACCCCTTTTTTTGTGTGCCTTAGTCTGTACCCGGTAAATGATAAAACATCAATTTGCATCTAATGGGGGCTAAGGGTCTATTTTCATATAAATCTAAGTGTACTTTTTGGTGTTTTACTCAAAACTGGATTCCCAATTCAGTGCAGGTTGTTGTTAGGTGGGTTGGTTTTTTTTTCAGGAGAGAGAGATGTTTGAAGGTATATAGAGGAGGAAGGGAAGAAGGAAAATTCAAGGAAGGATATGGGGCAAAGGGCAAGCTTTTTAGACAGATTACTTTTCAAGATGTTTTTCAAATCACTTTAACTTAATTCAGTGAATTTAGACAATCATTAAGTACAATAGAACATCTTAACAACTTTACTTGTACAAATGCGTTTGCTTTAAAGTTATTGGCTTGCGCTAAATATAAAGTTTTCTGTCACTGCAGATAATGTTGAGGTTACTTTCCTGCAGAAACTGACGAAGGATGATTTGTTAAAATTCTATAGGGTTTGTGAAATTTATATTAATATTTCATCTTTATTAAAAGTATTTCCAGTTGTCTGTAAATAATTGCTTCATTGGCAACCCAAGGATAAATAGTGATTAAGTAAAATATTATTGCCTCATATAAATTTGTTAAATAGATAACATCTGTTTTGAAAAATTATGAATACAGAAAACTTCGCTCTAAGGTGATTATTGTGGTCCATAAAGTATGATCCTGTTAATAGCAGGGTCGCAAGATGTCATGCACATTTCCAAAATCAAGACTGTCAAAACAATAAAAGTCATTTTAAATCATTTTCACAATTCTTCACGACCAGTCTAGTATAAAATTCAGGATATTTTACATACATTTTTTTTAGTTTAGTAGAACATATTAGTGGGGTCAGACATTTGAGAACTTCTATCTTGTGGATCACACTAATGCACATACAGCATGATCTCATAAAAAGCCCTGATTCTGTCCAGTGGCACTGAGATTTGTAAAAAGTAGGAAGATATGTGATTTCATTTTTAACAAAGAAATATGTTTTTTTTAATCTCTTGTTACTATTGGGCCATTTAGTATTATCTTCACATTCAAATGTGATCTCATCACTGAAATAAAGTTAAATATTTTACTACTTTCACTAGAAAAAATAATATTGGGTGCGAGCGAAGTCATACCACAATTGAGCTTTATCAGAACACTGTTATTGCGAGGTTGTACGGCATATAGATCCACCCCTGTTGTGCACTGTGATGCACTCTTTGGCCACTCCCCCCACCCCCATCCCTTCCCAGGCACCAAATGCACACAAAAGAACACATCTGGAATTATTATAGTTTATGCACCCCTTCCCATATTTTACTAGTGTAACTAGCTAGTATATTATATATATAAATTCTGCCATAGTAAAAAAAAGTGTTAGCACATTTTTCTTCCATTTGAAACCTCCTTGAATATAAGATAGAATATTTAAATATCTCATTTTATTACTAGGAAAAGATTGCACTGAATGCCCCACAGCGACACAAGCTATCAGTACATGTTCTTTCTGAAGTCCCACAAAATCCTGACACCAACAATGTGGGTAACAATGTTGAAAAGACAGAGTGTGAAGGCGGTGATGGATTTATACCTGCACCTGAGCTGCCTATGGTAAGTCAATTATACATTTGATAGAGTCATCAAGTGTGGCACAGACAGCTGGTCAAGTTGAAAGTCAGTCTTACTATATTTTGCAAAGTTGGAACAAAAATCAGATACATTTTTAAAATTTCAACTTAGATCATCTAAAAAATTTGGAAAAAATAAAGAGATATTCAACAAATTGCTAATGTTGGATATTATTAATATTATTTCAATAAAAGTCTTAAGTGCTAACCAACAATTTTGATGTAGCCAAAGAATTTTGACTTACAACTGAGGTCAGCACCAGAAACTCATAATTGTAACTTTGGCAAGAATGTTTGAATGTTTTTATGTTTAGATATCTGCTTATTATGTGGATACTTAGTTTGAACGGATAGTGGTACATATTGGAACATTAACTTTACCATTAAATGTGATTAATACTAGATCTAATACAAGTACAAAGCCATTTAAAATTTTTGAGTTTCATAGATTTGTGGAAAAAAAATGACTGACCAATTGTGTGAAAGTGAATAGGTGGTAAAGAAAGACATGCTCACTTGTCATTCTGATCATAAGTTTGCTAGTCTGAGGTGAAACAAAAATATATCATCATTGTTGCTTCAAGCCATTTTGTCATTCTATTTCACTGCCATACTGAAATTTTAGCATTATCTAAGGCTATACTATTTACACCATTTTTTTTCCAGCCAGTCATAATAACTGATGTGATGGAATTCAAACGGGATCTTGGGCTGTTTCCTCTGCCAAAACCCTTCATTGAGGTCACCTTGGCTAAATCTAAACTTTGAAATGAAGACTCTCTTTTTGTATTCAATTACAATGTTACGCTGACTCCTTTTTACGACAGCATTTATTACATAATATTTTAATGTTGATTACATTGATGGGTTCTTTAGGTTTTTCAGATCATACTGGACTCTTGTTTTGATAAATAGATAACTTGATGCCAATTGACAAGTGTAGGTACCGGTATATTTAGTGCATATTGAATTTACTTGAGCACCAATGTTATTTGACAATAATCTCTTATGACAAATATGAAAGGGCAGCTTGTTCATTGCTGGGTTATGGTGGTCATGCTGTAGACATGTTTCAAATTATGTGCTAATAACACTTGAAATTTTAATGGAACATATGTTGATTATGTTATTAGTAAAATGGTATGTGTATATTTCTCCTTACATAAAGATACCAGATAAATCAAAATGAAATTATGAAGATCTAGAAATTTTGAATTGTACACAGTTTATCAGAACATCAGCTTAATAAAGTCTTTGTGGAAAAATGTTTTTTATATATTTTTAAAACATATTTTAAATTGTTTTGTATTATTCTCAAGCACTTTATAAACATTATTATTTAAAAAACCCAGCAATTCCTAAAAAACTATCTGGCACAAATAATTATGACAGTGTTCAGAAGTCAATTCCTAATACAATCATGCCTTCCCTGAAAATTTCAGATATTGCAGTTGCTGTTGTACTGTAAGCTAATAAATTTTAAATGCAGCATAAATTAATTAAAACATTTGGTATGTTGACCCCATATGGTATTTACCAAATTCACAATTTTACATAGGCGCAATATTATTTCCTGTTTTGTTTTAATCTGTACTTCAGCCTGCTTCGTTTCTTCTCTGCCTCTTTCAAACTCTTTTTTTTTTCTTTCCCTTAACTTCTCATATAATGTAGCGGTACAATTTAAAAATAAGATGCTTTACTTAATATTTTGTGGTCTATTTATAAAGATAAACTATTTGTTTAACCTACACAAATTATTTGTCTTTAACTGCTTTATTGCAGTCCAATCCTCTTATAATTAGTAACTGTTAAGTTTAAGTAACTTGTAACTACATACTTATATGTCTTACATTTATTTATCCTTGACAGTGAATAGAATCATTTACAATAAATTTTAAGGTCTTGTCAAAAGGAGTTGGTTGTTTTTGTTTTTTTGTAAGCCCCAACACCCTGGTTTCAAGAAGTTTTACAAATGATTTAAAACACCATGGTTACATAAACTTCATAAAGTTTTACAACTTAAAAACTTGTGCCAAAATAGGAAGCCCAACCATAACTACTTGACCTGTTAAACTTAATCAGAAAACTCTCCTTTCAAGTTACCGGTACTTATGACATTGGCTTAGATGCATAGGTTTGGCAAAGGATAAAAACATCAGTAACTGATGATCTTCAATATCACATCATACAGATAAATTTAGTTTAAACAAACTGCCAGGCTCATCCCACCACCACTTCCCCCAACTTTTTGCTATCCTTTTGTGGAAATAAAGTATTTGCCCGCACATAGGATGCAACGACAACGTATGACACACTTCTTAAGGAAAAAAATAACTACATAAGACGCACCCCATATTTTTTGGCATTTGTTAGGGGGGAAAAGTGTATCCTATATGCCGGCAAATAATAATAGTAAAATTTAAGAAATATAATTTAAAGGAAAAAATAACAATCTGTTATTACATCAGTTTAAGATAACTTTATTTTTTATAATCAATAACGTAAACAAAAAATAACATGCATTCCAACTAAGATATGCACATTATTCAAAGCCCACATCATTTATTTAAGTCAAATGCAATTAAAACATTCATTAAAAAAATTTAGCCCTCCTAATATTACTCATTACATTCTGAGGATCAATCATAGAATAATCTGTCATTACTTCAACTCATGCTTTGGCTGAAAAGCAGATTGTTTTATTTGATCCGATCCCATCTCCAAATGTTGCCATCATCACTGACTGCAAGCATAACATTACCATCTTTTGAGAAAGCAGTTTGACGAATAGCTGAGTTGCATTTGTGATGGGACAGCTTGGTAAATCTGTTAAATAGGAAGTTTTTGGTGTTCAGGAACATTGAAAAAGCTTTTTAAACGACACTGGGTATAAATTTTGTGTATAATAAATTAAATGTGAAGCTGTTACTACGACTACAACATCTTTTTTTTAATCAAATCTTGCTCTCAACAGCAATGTTTAAAATACCTCAAATGGGCTTTGATTATTTATGGCCACACAAAGATTTGTGCTACATAAAGATTTGTGCTACATCTAAAGTAGAGTGAAATGTACATTTTGGCCAAAGCTTTCTTCAGCTATTTTGTCTAAAATAGGGATTTGGAGAATATTGAAATTGAAACAATGTTAAGTTATAGATGTTGTTACAACGGTCTTACTTGGTTTGAGTAGGATCATCCACCTCTAGATCCCAAACAAAGATATGACCAACTTGATTGCCAAGAGCCATTATCTAGTGGAGAGTAAGAAACTGAATTTTGTATATCTATGTTACAGTTACAAAATATAGTTATAGTAAATACTTATTTGCACTCCAGATCAGTGGTTCCCAAACAGGAAATAAAATAATAAAACATCAAATGAAATTAAAAGAATAAGAAACAAAAAAGCAGCATGAAATGAGAATGATAATTCAATGTTGCCAGAATCCATTTGAACACAGCCCAATATAACAGGAGGCTGGTGACAAATTCGCTCTACAAATTAATCGATGTCGCCGGCATCTTCAATAAAAATAACATAAAAATTTAAGAAACATTTTCAGGTGCATCTCGTTTGAACATCAAACACATACTACAGCTCAAGAAACATAAAAACAAGAGACGTTCACACATATTTCTCATATACCGGTCCCACGAATAAAGAGAAGTTCAAACATATACCACAGCTCTGGAGAAGATGATTAATGATTTTAAATGGGTAATGAATGTCTTCTTTGTGAACAAAGAACTCAGCAGAATGCGAGGTCCTCACAGAGTTGACATTTTAACCTGAAATATAAATTGCGTTTCAAGACCAATTCTGCCAAAGTTTTAGGGAGATGAATTCAAAATATTGTTGGAGATAGTAAAATTATGATCGCAGCCTTTCTCAACTACACGCTCCTGTGAAGCGGAATTCTTCACCTATACAACTACCGAAAGAACAGAAATACTAAAATGCAGAACTAAACATTTGCTTCAAATTATCATCAACTGAACCTTAATTAAGAAAACTATGCAATAATACAACAACAGGGAGCTCATTACAAGTTTAAACATTATTATATACTACTCCTAAACTATATTAACTTGTAAGGCATAAGGGAGCATACACCCCCTACCCCCTCGAATAAATTAAATTACAACAGGGCTCAGCGAGTCCAGCAGTTGATGAATGTTTTAGGGTTCACGGTAAATAAAAATTTTAAATAGAAGTGAGGGTGAAGTAAGATTTTAGATTCATTAGAATATGATAAGATATGTCAGCGCATTATAAAATAATATTATAAACATATGGTTATCAGGAATATATCGCTTAATAGATTCAAAGTCTTTAGTTTTTCAAGTACTGTGTAGTTAATGTATTGTCTTGGGGAACAACTGACTTCCACATGTTCTTGTCAGCCATCCTGAGGGTCAATTGTCAGTTTCCTGATGAAGACGGTCAAAGTCCTTCCTTCCATAACAAATAACATCTAGACAGTTTATAAGGACTGCTTAATCACGTAACATCTAGTCAGTTTATAAGGACTGCTTAATCACGTAACGTCTAGACAGTTTATAAGGACTGCTTAATCACGTAACATCTAGACAGTTTATAAGGACTGCTTAATCACATAACATCTAGATAGTTTATAAGGACTGCTTAATCACGTAACATCTAGACAGTTTATAAGGACTGCTTAATCACGGCCTCCCTTGATAAATGTTTACAATGTCTCCAGCAGAGGGTTAGCAGGACCATGCAAAATGATTTCAAAGGTACCGGTACAGGTCCTGAAAGCGATTCATTTCCCCAACTGAATTTACAATATGAAGAATTTTCAATCTCAAGTCATTTAGTAAATTATGCACAACAACATTCAGTCATAATTTTATAATTATATATGTTAATAATTATTGACCTGTTGATTGTAGTCAAGTGAGAACCTCATGTACCAAATCTCACATTCTTTATACTCAAACCGATGAAGGACCCACACGCTTTCTTTGTCATCTGATTTGACTTTGAGTGAGTCGTGATGGCTGCCAGGCCGCCAACAAACTATACAGTTCTCACAAGACTGAAGACAAGAACAGGATGTACATTAAACTAAATATTTCACACGGAGCATACATTTAGTTTCTTTCAAAAACAAGTCGCTTTTAAGTGTAGATATGAATTATTTTTTTTTTTTAACTCCAAATTTAATTTATTGCAAGAAAGTAACGTTATTGTAAATGTGTTTCTTTTGGATATAAATTATAGCATTAATTAATAGACAAGCAATGCAGAGAGCATAGGATTTGTGTACAAAGATGTGAAGATGTCCATAAAATACAATCACAACTGAATTTCAAACCCCACCCGAACATCTAAAAAAGTTTAATGCCCCCCCCCCCCCCAACCAAATTTTAACAACCAAAAAAAAAATTAAAAAAAAAAAAAATTTTATCCCCCCCCCCCCCCCAACCCACTTTTTCCAACCCTAAGTGAAATTTAAAAAAAAAAGAGGTCTCCATGTTACAATTAAAGGGCCATCCATAAATGATGTCACTCATCTAAAGGGTTGGAGGGGTGGGGTGGGTGGAAGTGAGGGTGACAATCTGTATATGCAATATAATGGTGTCTACATTTTTTTGACAAATAGTCTACTTTGGAGAAGGCGTGGTCCAAAACACAATGATATCATAAATGCGCATCTATGCAAAACACCCCCCAACCACCCACCTTTTGAAACTTGAATAAATTTCTTATCTCAGAGACTAATTGTCCTCTCAAAATCTTCAATTTTCCGCCCTTTGTCGGGAAACATAGGGTTATGATGACTTCATTTAATTGTCCTGTAATTTGTAATTCCAGTTTAAATTTTTTTTTTTAAAAATAAAATAGAAAGCTTATTTGTACATGCATAGAAAAAGGGAGGAGTTGGGGGGGGGGGGTGAACTTTACTTTATCATACATAATATATGGATTGTCCATAAAGCATGGGTTTGTATCAAGTGTAATATAGGCCAAAACGTGCCAAAGTGTCCTCGTTTTATAGCCATTTTAATTCTTTCTATGGTATAGTAGTTACTATCCTAATGTCTCATTTTTATTTTAGTTAGTTTACATGTTTTTAATTATTGTAAAGCGCTTATAAAAATACCTAAATAAATAAATAAATAAAAATGATTTATTAAAACTTTTGATATAAGCCAAAATATATCTTAAGTTTGGAAGAAATTCATTTTACTGAATTCAGCAAATTTCAGATTAAAGAAAAATTTAAAAAAATAATCCTCAACTGTTAAATGATTTAACTTCACCTTTGATAAAACCAGATTTCCCAACCACCGCACACAATCAACATAGTTCCTGTGGATGTCTCTGGTGGAGAAGTCGGGGAAATGGCAGTATTCTGTAGGAAACGGCCTATTGGAAAAAAGAGAAACAGATATTAACAAAAATTTAATTATTTTATTTTAGAGAATTAGAGACATTTAAATAGAAAGTGATCCCTCTCTCTTTTTTATACTTGGGCAAATTTATTGTTTGAAACTTGTGTAGGAAAAAAAAATGGAATATATTCTAACTACTTAAACTACCCAATGGATGGCAATAATGCATTTACAATATTGGTAAATTAATGTATAATTATAAAAGTAATGCAAAAATTACATACATAGTCTCTTTCCAACTTTTTCGACTATGTACTAATATTAATTGATGAAGTTAATGTTTTATGAGCCATTAAAACTTTCAACAAAAAAAAAAGTTATCTTTTTCATTAAAATGATGTTTGAATCATCATTTTTTAATGAGTTGAGATTTCAATAGAGTGGGGTACAGAGAATTAAGAAGAACCCCCAAATTATCCCATGAATCTATGAAATGTCATACTCATCATGTTTTGATATATTGTAGTTATGAGATTCCTGTAATGCTTTCCTGATGTCAGGCTTTTCAAGGTTCCATATTTTTAAAGAGTGATCCATTCCACAGGAAACAATCTTTGTGCCACTGAGATTGAAGTCCTGAGAGTAAAATGATAAATTACCGTACATTTACTTGTTCAATGGCTTGTTTGTTAATAATCTGACCTCCTTAGTTTTGGCCGGGCAAAGCCTGAAAGTGTGTAACCCGCTCATAATCCGTCCTCCATAAAATAATTTTCAATAGAAACAATTAGGTACTAAAGAAAATAATAGTTTTTAAAAAAATCCAAACTTTTAAAAATAATTATTTAAGACTCAAAAACTAATAAACATACAAGGTATGTTTCAAGGTGGCTCACTTTGCAGTCTAATGGTATTTAGGGTAACCATACTGAACATTTACAAAAATAGGACAGCTGTTCGATCTACAATAACAAGCTCATAATTTATTGCAAAATGAGGACACAACGTGTGACTCAATTTTACACACACTGCCAATTTTGTTGACTTCCGTTAATTACTTTTTGCTTTATAGTTTTCTAATTTCATTTAACCAGTTGATAAGTCAATTGCGCACCTATTCCCCTAAAATATTTATTTTAAAATGTCAGCTTACGAACAAGTATCAGTTTATTTCAAAACAACTAATTTCTAACATGTGCAACTAAAAGTAAAATGTTTACTTGAGCTAAGGACTAACTAAACATTTATATAAGTGGTGTAAAAATATACACTTGTTTTAGATCAAACTTCACACAAGCAGCTGACCCAATACGTTGGCACTAAAATGGAGTGGCATGAAAAGATGGCGAGCAGATTGCCTTTAACAGAAGTAACAATTTAAAGAATTTAAAAAAGAAAAAATGTGTAAATTGCAGCATATCTAGTAAATGAAATATTGATCGCTTAGGAAAGTTTAATTAAAATTAGAAAAAATTGCCTCTTTTTTTCCAGCACAATTATGTTACAGACTATTTGATTTAGGTGTTGAGCAAGAAATTTTCAAAATTCCTTTCTAATAACATAATTAGCAATGAAGTATACCGTAGTTAATGTTCTTTTATGCTTCCCAAATCACAGTACTAAAATAATAATAACTCACAACTACAAACAAACTGATGACTAAATTGTTTTAAGTCTGAAGAGTGACTACATATTTCAAAAACTAGCTTGTCCGCTTTTTTTTTTTAACATCTAGGTATACTCACAGCACTTAGCACCTCATCTCTATGTCCATCTACACCCCCAAAGATGACAGCACATACTCCTGTTTTGACATTCCAAACTCTGAGGTCATGATCTTGACATGAAAAAATACCAAGAAAAATAATCAGCTTAAGTGAGTGAGTCTTTGTTTGAGCGCAGTTTCTATGAAGATGAGAAAACTGACTGCGAGGATGATCTCCGCTGAAACTTGTGTCCTCACTGGACATGGTCAGACACTAAAAGTTACAACAGGAGGGATCAAATGAGGTGGTCAAAGCATTGACACTGGCCTCATTTAATATACAAAGTGATGTAAATTATGTAAGGCATGTAAATTATGTATGGCATGTGAATTATGTATGATATGTAAATTATGTATTGCATGTAAATTAGGTATGACATGTAAACTCCCAACATGATGTAAATTATGTATGGCATGGAAGCTCCCAACATGATGTAAATTATTTATGACATGTAAACTCCCAGTACGAGATGGCACTAAAATATCAAGCCTTGTAGTACTTGTAGTGAAATGGTTTGTTACACTGTAAAACCTGCCTTTTAGTGCTTGCAGTGAAACGGTTTGTTGTGTTACACTGTAATATCTACAAGGTAGATGCAATAAAATGGTTTGTCATATTACTCTGTAATATCTGTATGTTGGTGAAAATAATTTGAATAGTTTTGTCTCATTGTCATGTCATTAATTTAATCTCCAGTTTTTAAATTTTCCCCGCTATTTAAAAAAAAAAAAAAGACAAGCAGTGGTTCTCATTCCTTTTTAATCAAGGTATCTCTTGGCCTAACAACTGGTTTCCTGGAAGATGACTATGTTTGGAGGTAAATAGCAGCTTAATAAGTTGGGAACCATTTGCAAGTATACCTCCCAAACAAAACACTGATCAGAATGATTGTTTTCAGTGCCACATAATGTGCAGCCAAGTTTCAAATGATTAATCATTACTTAATAAACAAGGCTTGGAAAGTTGTTTCCCCTTATTGGTGCTCCATTTCATTCATCCCAAATGTTACATTCACCAGCTTTTCTTTTGTTAATCACACAATTATCCATTGTATCCATAATTCAAATCAAATTTTATCATTCATGTGTAAATTTATTTTTAAGCTAGTTTTAACAATAAACAGACTTTGAAATCTTTGTATAAGCTCTCCAGCAGTGATAACATATCGGAATCACCCTGCGCAACACACTTAGAGAATCCATGTTAACTGATTCCGGGTGCCAAATTAAAATTTAAGATCATGGGGAGACCAAACAAAAGAATAGACTGCACTAAAGAATTTGAACCGAATTTTAAATAAGTAAAGATCGGCTTTATAATTAAATGATTTGGCCAAAAATGTACTCTCATCGGATGTGGTTTTACTTCCTAATTTTACACAAGGGCTCAGAATCAAGACTTTTCAAGTTTTAATCATTAAGTACACAGGATTGATAAAAACTAGCATTTATAAAAAAACATTACCTTTGCTCACTGAAAGGAGGAGATTATTATCTTTAGGTTTGAACTTCAGTTCGTTCACTGCATTCCCATGACCAACAAATTGCTGGAGAGAAGAGAAAATACATTAATTATTTTTTTTTAAAAAGACATTGCCTGAGTTATTTTTTAATTGTGAGGTTATTTATTAAATAACAATAACAACTTTACAACTTTTTTTCATAATGGTAGTGTGCCTGCCTCATTATATGAGAGAAGTGGGTCCTACTGCAAAGTAAATGCATGTCACAAACATTTCTTGCTTGCCACAAAAAAATCCTTGGAGCGCTGTCTGGGTTGGGTGACCGGAGTCGCTTAGCCCACCATTTTTCTTAACAGACTAACAATTCAGTTTTACTACTTCATCAATACTACATTATTAAAAAATTTTTTTTTTAAAAAGCTACAATGCTTAGTTTAAAGGGTTTGACTGTACATAAAGATGCAAATTAAAAATGTAGAGAATTTCTGTTTAATTTTCTTAACCCATTTCATTGAGGATAAGATCCAACTGAAAAATCTGAAGGGCAAAGTTAGTCTATACTGCATACAAAGTAATCTTATGTAGGTACCTAGATATTACCTTAATACACTGTCCCATAGTTAGACTGATGATGTGATTAATTTCCATACTTATACAAAGTAATCCAGACAGTACCTAGATATTACCTTTATACATTGTCCCATAGTTGGACTGATGATGTGATTAAGTTCCATACTCTATACAAAGTAATCTTATGTAGGTACCTAGAAATTACCTTTATACATTGTCCCATAGTTGGACTGATGATGTAAGTTCCATACTCTATACAAAGTAATCTAGATAGTAAATAGATATTACCTTTATACATTTCCCATAGTTGGACTGATGATGTGATTAAGTTCCATACTCTATACAAAGTAATCTTATGTAGGTACCTAGATTTTACCTTTATACATTGTCCCATACCTGGACTGCTGATGTAAGTTCCATACTCTATACAAAGTAATCCAGAAAATACCTAGATATTACTAATACCTTGATACATTGTCCCATAGTTGGACTGATGATACGTATTATACCACGAACTCCTGCCACTGCAAGGATTGGTTGACCCGTTGCATCATCAAAAGACCAAGCACAACAATAGAAGTTTTCATCCGTCTAAAAAGCCGGTTAAAGGTTATAAATGAACATTTAGAAACCAAAAAAACAACCCTGATTAGATTATAAAGTTGATACAATCCAAAACTTTTCAACTTAAAAAAAAAATAAAAATAACGATATATTTTTAAAAAATCAGCAGCCCATAAACAATAAGTCAAGTCCCCCCCATCCCCCCACCAGAAGTTATTTTCAATACTTAAATAGGAATGTCTAAGATATATAAATACACATAAGGATACACTAGGATCAACATAGGACTGAAGTAGTTTGATTTTACCACCATCATGGCATTCATAGATTGTGACCTAGGATTTATTCAAAGAGAGAACGAAAAAAAGTGTCAATCAATAAATGATAAAAATGATAATCATATGTCGTTTCATTTAATTTTTGTATACCCTTCAATTTACAACTACTTTTACTTTTTTTATGTTTGCTTTTTTAAAAGATGTCAAGTTAGAGAAATAAAATTGTCAAATTTTGGCTTAAATTGTATGAACACAATCTCACTTTGTATACCCTTAATTTCATAATAGATGGGAACAAGTTGGCAAAGCAGATTAAATAAAATTAAAATTATCTTTGATACATGTAATGACTTACACGGTTGTGACCAACGGTGGCAAATAAAATTGGATCTGTTTCTTTCATAACAAGATTTATCTGTATTCCAAACAAAGGTTGGCCATGGTCCTCCTATGCACAGAAAAAAATCTATATCAAAATCTAAACCAGAATCATGAAATGTTTTCAAGCACTTAGGTCATTTGATCTAATGATTATGCAAAAAAGAGCACTTTATATCTTTGTATAGCATCAGTGCATCAAGCACGGAATTTCAGATCACAAAATTCATTAATGAGTGAGCACTCAGTAGAGGAAAATTATGTAAAAAATGTAAATTGCATCAATGACATTTCAAAAGCTTTAAAATAAAAAAAATATTAAAATGAAAGTTATTTTATTTTAAGTATTTTTTGCTGCTGAAAATTAAACTACTAAAAATATGTAAGAAATTCTAGAATAAATGTACAGTTACTAAATTTTAATGTAAGCAAATTGAAACTTAAGTATTTTCAATATCCATCAGCCAACATCAAAGAAAGCAGGAAAAAGATCTTAAGTATGAGATAAAGTCATGATTTAAGATTTACTCTATTAAAAAAAGTTTCAAATCTTAGTCATTAAGAAAAACTTACCTTAGGACTACTTATGACAACCCTAATGTTGAAAACAATAACTAATTATTTTCTTAGTCTTAAGTCTGCTTTAGTACCTAAAATTTTGTAAACTGTTATTAACCTTGAGATAATTTGTACACTTAAACTGTAAACGGCACTTTTTCATCTGGCGCTTGTTTCTGATGCCATTACGTGACCTAAGGGTGGGAGTTTCACTACGTGAAGATTCCTCTTCTTTAGTACTAGCTGTGCTGGAAACATCATCCTAAATTTTTAAAGATTTCAGATAAAATTTAGTTTAAAAATATTTTAAGTTGCTACACAACAAATAAAAATTATACTTGATTATAATGTCAAGTTATAATAAAGGGTATACTGACTACTTCCTCATATTAACTAATTACAAGTCAATCAAAGAATAGATTAGGATTAACATTAACGATTCCCCATTAAATAGTCCCTTAAAGCATAATAAAAAATGTTCCACATGTTTTCAAAACTAATGATGCTAAATGTAAGAAGCATTATATTAATATTAAGCCAATTAAGTGGCTACCTGCCAACCTGATTAGAAAAAAAAAAAAAAAAATGTTAGCTTTAAGAATTTTTTCAATATTCTTGAAACAGGTTTCAGTTCCTTTCTTTCTTCTTTGATATATAATGTAATATCTAAATCAGACATTTGAGTCTTAGAAAGTTTAATGGAGACTCCACTGAGATATAATCTCAGCATTCAATAATGCAAAAAGTATATCCAAATTAAAATCAATATGTTCTCATTTAAAAGCAATTAATAACCAAAGTTTGGTGTAACAGTCTAAAAATTCAAAGAAACCTATTGCTCTTATTTGAGATAAGAAATGTTGCCGTAAAACAGGCCTGCACAACATACGGCCCACGGGCCGCATGTGGCCCGCCAGCACCCACTTGGCAGCCCGCGAAGCATTGAAATATTTATTATGATTATTATTTTCTAAATATCTATCCCCCCTGTCCTCTAATATTTTGGTAAATGGTCACTGAAAATGCCACTATTTTATCAGTGGCCGCCATCTTGGTTGAGACGTCACATGAAGTCATCTATCCCTATGCCTAACCTGAACCCTAAATCAATCCCTAAGCCTAACCTGAAACCTTAAATCGATCCCTCTGTCTAACCTGAACCCTAAATTGATCCCTATGCCTAACCTGAACCCTAAATCGATCCCTAAGCCTAACCTGAAACCTTAAATCGATCCCTCTGTCTAACCTGAACCCTAAATTGATCCCTATGCCTAACCTGAACCCTAAATCGATACCTAAAATAATTTAGTAAAAATAAACAAAGGGAAGTCACTCCCTGGAAAATAAGTCGTGGCATCTCGAATGATCATAAGCCAAAGATGGGTATACTGCAAAATGTCATGGATATTGTAGTGAAAACTGTAAATTTCGTTAGAGTTAATCCTTTCAATCATAGACAGTTAGTTAAAGACTTTGTTAGAAGAAAAAGAATGACATTTTTGTTCTTCAAGTAAAGGAAATGTACCACCAAGATTCTGGGATCTAACTGAAAAAATAAAAATCTTTCTCAAGACTCAAACTCAAGTCAAAACCTCAAGAAGATTTGTTCAACTATATTTAGAACAGTCAGAGTTTATTGTAAGGCTGGCTGTAGGATAATGCTAACAGAAATACAATTCTTTAAAATGAAAGCATTAAATTTATTATTAATCGCGTGAATAATTTTTGCAAAAAAAACAACAATTCTTTTGAATTATGATTTTTTAGAATATTTCTCTAAAAAAATCTAAACTACTACTGTTGTTTTTCAGATTGGGCTGCCCTAATTATTATGACACCACTAACTTCCCCCACAAGTTTCCATTAACTTCTTTATATACTACTATACTAAGCATATCAGTTATTTGAGTTTTTAAAATACTCTGTCATAGTAGTATACTCTACCATTTCGTCTCCTGATATATCAGCGTGCATCATCTGAAGCTGCCTTTTCGACAAGGAAAAGATCCTTTCGCCATCCATTTGAATTGATAGAATTGTCTGATTTCAGCCGGGTTCCCGTTTTATTAAATTTTAAATTGTTGAAGTTTAATCTCATTTAGTTATCCGAGTTTGCTTCTTTATTATTTTATTAACTTATTTTTTTATTTAAATGCCAGCCGAGTAATGAGTAATAATTTCATAAGTACCGGTAAAACACGATATCATTTTTTCTTTCTTTGTTGTTTTGTTTCCCTTTTCGGTTCTCCTGCACACAGAAAGCATAAACGTTGAGCCATAACATATCCTCTGTTATAACTATAACCTACGTGCTTCCAAAACTTCCTAAGTTTGTGACTGTTGTCTGCTGCAGTAGTTCGAGTGAGGTGAGGTTAAAAGTCCATCATCGCTAGTCTTGACTTTGTGATTGTGACATTCGACAAATTCGTCATTCGTGTCTTTAAAAACTAGATTTTTATTATTATACTCTTCGGTGTACATGATTATAACATTATAATTATAAATTATATTTATATGAATAAAACAAAATTTTCTCTTTACTTTCTAAACTTTCTTTAACTATTTACTTTTTACTACTTGTTTTGCTTAAGTAAAATTGACTTGATTAAGTTTAATTATTAATTAAGTAGTCACTAAAAGTAAACATGGTCTATGTTAGAGTTAGACTTCTAACACTAACAGTTATAGTTATATCATTATATCTAAGTTAGAGTCTTAAAGAGGCCAGAGATTTCTTTAACTAATAGTAGTTCTAGTTACTAGACAGAAGTCAGAGGTAGACGTTTTCATAGAACTAACTTAAATACTTAAACTAAGCAGTTCAACAGTTCAGTGGGGTAGCATAGTTAACTTGTTAGTCAATGTTACCAGTACCAGTTGTTTCCTTTAATTGTAATTTAATTCATCTTGATAAATAGATAATTTTTATAATGATCACTCAGCTATTCACTCACTCAATTTAGTTAGCAAATGCTTCTTTTAATATTTTATTTTTTAGTTTAGTTGAATTAATTAGTTTTATTTAAGTCAGCTAAAATGTAAAAAAAACAAAAAACTGATTAGACAACAGATAAGATTTTATATTTTTAGTATTTTTAGACATGATTTTATATCTGGTTGTTCCCTGTTTATGCAAGAAGAAAAAAATTGCACATGTTCCAAATGGTGTCAGTGATTGGAATCTTTTTTTAACCACTGACACTCAATTAAGTTTTAGTCAAATTGATATTTAAACCACATGGGCATGGGTCCATTCAAATTGACCGTTGGTAAGTGTAGGATCTAAAAATAACATTAGGGGTACATTGTTTGACATGATGCTTGGTGGTATCTACATACATATTAAAGGTATTGCTATTGTCATGGGAATCATTCATAAACAAGATTAACACCTGATCGGCATCATATAATTTACAATGCTATATAGTTTCGTAAAACTTATTTGATCTATTTATTTGCAGCATTTTTTGCACTTTGTGAGGGATCTGTTTGTTTAGAAAAAGGAAATTATTTAAAGTTAAAGCTTAAATAATTTTTTTAACTATTATTATTATGATGAAACTTTTTATTCTTAACACACACACACAAATTCATTGGGAATAAATTATTTTTTTCAGGATAATAAATTATGAGCCATTCATTTTGCCACCAGAGACTATTGCAATTCTTTAAAGTTTTTAGAAAAGTAGGTGAACAATTTTTAATTTTAAATGTAGGATTTGCTCTTAAAAAGCCCCAAGCTAGTCATTACTCTTTAAGGATTAGCATATTAACGATAAGTCATATTCTCTTCTCGTTGGTGTTAGTTTCCTTGTTTGATAACTGCATATTAAGTACATATAAAATACTCCAATAAAATATTTTACATTTTAAGGTGGGTTTTTGTGTTCATCAGGTTGGCCATCAAGTAGCCCTACGATCATCCGGAGTCAATGCTAACAATAATGCAAATGGATTCACTTTTCTACAATCAACATTTTCAGACATTAATGCTAACTTGCAAACATCAGAGGTGTTAAACCATAGTTAAAACCTAGAAAAAATAAAATGTTAATTTTGTTAACTCCATTTATCAATCTTATTAAATAACTTAAGTTTAATTTTTCACATTAATTTTGCAAAATATCCGTAGACTCAAAATTGCAATATTTCAAAATTCTGAATTGTCATGTTTTTTTTTAAATAGGATAAATGTTGTATGTTTATAAAGTATTACAACAACATTTCTCGAGATGAAAGAGCAGCTTTTTTACGTGACCTTGCAAAAAATTATGGCATTCATCCAGAAAATGTAGTCACTGTTGCAAAGACAGCAGTGGCTGTAAAGGTATGTTGTTTGCATAAATATACAACTTAAAATTCTTTGAAAAAACAGCAAGGTAAGGAAATACTCCTAACTTGTTTCCTTTTACAAATTATGTAAATGTTATAATTACCTTAATAAAATTTTGATTTTTTTATTCTACAATTAGTTTTTAAAAATTGAAAAAATCTTTGACATTTATGACTAACAAGTATGCCGGCAATTGCTTACTTTAGGACAAAGGAGATGTTAGCCTGTTAGCTTCATCAGAGAAACTGCGGTCAAGTCTAAAACCAAAATTCAAAACATTATTTACACATATTGGAAGGGTAGATGGAGGAGTGAAATTTTTGGTAGACTGTCGAGCTGATGTCCTGGTAAATGCAATTTTTAATAATTATATCATGCACTAATATGTTTGTTTGCACTAATTATTTTACAAAAACAAAATAAGTTTATAAAAATGTAGCTACTACACGTACACCCCTTAATATTGTTTTTAGGATAATATGGTAGAGACAGGGCTCAAGCTTTGTGGATGAAATATTAAGAACAGGATTTGTAGAAATTTGAATAACAACATGAGAAAATCAAATCAACAATTTGGCTGAATGCTTTCCTCTTCAGGCACAACAAACACACAAAAAAACCAAGATAGAATTAGACAAAAAGGAAACATAATAAATTTTAGAAAGATCTAAACAGCAAGTTTTATATTGTTTTATTGATACAAATTGTTCATGTCTAATTAACCTATTTAAATCTATCATGGAGACATTACCAAGGAACAGTATAATACAGTTACAGTCTAATGATTTTAGTGAAAATTTTAATAGAAAATGCCAAAGTTTCAAAATGTAAATACGAAATCTATATATAAAAGGGGAAAATTAAAGTACTTGAGTGACAACATGCAGCAATGTGGTACATATAATTTGAATTACTTAAATTCCACTCTTTATTCTTGCTGTCATATTGGGTATGAAATCAAGGCTGTGATGAATACATTCAATGTGTCTTATGTTGCCTTCGTTAAAGTGGTATGAAGTGGGACATTTTTTTTCTTCAAAATTTTGAAGATGCTCACTAAATCTTACCTGACAGTCTTCTTCCTGTCTCACCTATAATATAGCAATATTATAACAAGAGTAACACTTTCGGCAACAATCACATAGATGACACTGCTTCTAATACATGTGAACCATTAATTGATGGTAAAGGAGCTCTAAGAAGAAGTTAATTTGTTTAGTTTCAAGTACATGTGGGCAAGTCCTGCAACTGCCTTGTTAACACTGGTTATAGTTGGTTAACCCCTTTGTGCATCATCAAACATTGTAGCCTATGTAAACACTGTTGGTTAACCCTTTTGTGCATCATCAAACATTGTAGCCTATGTAAACACTGTTGGTTAACCCCTTTGTGCATCATCAAACAATATCGCCTATACTATGTTAACACTGTTGGTTAACCCCTTTGTGCATCATCAAACATTGTAGCCTATGTAAACACTGTTTTATAGCACACTTCTCAAAATCGAGAAGTTGACCATTGAGTCTATCTTGATCAGAAATAAGATATTATCTGATGTATCAGTTAAATATAATTCATATTTAAATTGTATTTACTTAATAAAATAAAAATCATATTTAAAGTTAAAGAACCTAAACATTCAAGTTATGTGTACAGTTATTATACAGTTCAATTTAAGACAAGTTTAAACAAAACTTATTTTTAGACAAACCCCCCCCCCTCCCCCATTTCCCATCTTTTTGCCTACCCCCTTTTCCAGATAAATTCTAGGTGATCACTCATTAAGAAATAAGATAATTTTATTAGAATGTGTAAAACATGAACAAATTGACAAGCTTGGGGGGGGGGGTGTGTGTTACAGAAAATCTGAATAGATGTATAAAATGTCATAGTGACAAATGCCTTTTTAAGAAATAAGATAATTTTATTAGAATGTGTAAAACATGAACAAATTGACAAGCTTGGGGGGGGGGGGGTGTGTGTTACAGAAAATCTGAATAGATGTATAAAATGTCATAGTGACAAATGCCTTATCAGTAATAGTATAGCACGGCCTATCAACTATAGTGAATGAAAGTGGAAACACAAAAAATTGACAAGAGCATAGAAATGAAAAACACATTATCATAGACAACACAGTATCATATGTAGTTTTATAGAAGACACATTATCAAATGTCAATATATATAGACATATCAATTTGTTTTTAGGTTGAAGGTCATGAGTAGATGTCCTAAATCCCCAACTTGTTACTTGTCATTATAATCAAGCCCCAGAATCACTTTATTAACAGTCTAAATATTTACTATTCAATGTTTAGTAATTAGTTTGTTTTAAGAGTATTGTCTCCCTTGTTGTGTTCACTAATTCCTTCATCTGTGTTCATGTACCCATATCAGCGCAAAACATAATCCAATTTTTAAAATATGTTTTAAGAGTATTAAGCAAAGTTGCACAAGTGAGATGGACGGGGCACTGTTTCAAGAACTCAATATTGCCTTAATGGATCTACTGCGTCTCTGGTTCACAGTTGGCTTACTAAATTTGGAAAGAATTACATGGAATTCTTCTTGTGATCTGGTTCAAAAGGTAGGTTAAAAAATGTATGAAGTATGTTTCATTTAGAATAGATGTTGCATAATGTAACACAAAGATTGACAAGGATTAAATTACAGAAGACCATTATTATTTTAAATTACTTGTAAAAGTAGTTAACCTTATCCGTGAATTTTCAAAAGATAATATTCTATTGTATTATAGTAATTTTAGTTGAGGCTTATTTTCTGAAGCCATTGGCCATCATTTTTTGTCTTTTAACAAACGCTTATCAATACTGTTGTATTAAAAAAAATTTGTTTGTGTCATGGATCATTTCTAATGAAACTGATGTGGATTGTTTGTAATGTTTATATAATTATCTTTAAAAAAAACAAAACAACTGAACTTGTCAGTCAAATTAGTTTTATCAAGGACATAAAGAAAAAATAGTGAAACAGGTGTTTGTTTAGTCTCGGATGGGTTTGCTCAGATGATGGTGAATCTGCCTTTTTTAGTCTCTGATAGGTGTGCTCTGATGAGTGTGCTCTGATGGCGAATCAACCTTTTTTAGTCTCTGATGGGTGTGCTCTGATTAGTGTGCTCTGATGGGGAATCTACCTTTTTTAGTCTCTGATGGGTTTGCTCAGATGAGTGTGCTCTGATGGTGAATCTGCCTTTTATAAGTCTCTGATGGGTCTGCTCTGGTAGTGAATCTGCCTTTTTTAGTCTCTGATGGGTGTGTTGTGATGGTGAATCTGCCTTTTTTAGTCTCTGATAGGTGTGCTTTGATGAGTGTGCTTTGATGAGTGTGCTCTGATGGTGTTCCACCTTTTTAAGTCTCTGATGGGTCTGCTTTGATGAGTGTGCTCTGATGGTGATTCCACCTTTTTAAGTCTCTGATGGGTCTGCTTTGATGAGTGTGCTCTGATGGTGATTCCACCTTTTTTAGTCTCTAATGGGTGTGCTTTGATGAGTGTGCTCTGATGAGTGTGCTCTGATGGTGATTCCACCTTTTTTAGTCTCTGATGGGTGTGCTTTGATGAGTGTGCTTTGATGAGTGTGCTCTGATGAGTGTGCTCTGATGGTGATTCCACCTTTTTTAGTCTCTGATGGGTGTGCTTTGATGAGTGTGCTCTGATGAGTGTGCTCTGATGGTGATTCCACCTTTTTGTGTGCTTTGATGAGTGTGCTCTGATGAGTGTGCTCTGATGGTGATTCCACCTTTTTTAGTCTCTGATGGGTGTGCTTTGATGAGTGTGCTCTGATGAGTGTGCTCTGATGGTGATTCCACCTTTTTAAGTCTGATGGGTCTGCTTTGATAGTGAATCTGCTTTTTTTAGTTAGTCTCTGATGGGTGTGCTCTGATGGTGAATCTACCTTTTTTAGTCTCTGATTTGGTCTGCTCTGATAGTGAATCTACCTTTTTTTAGTCTCTGATGGGTGTGCTCTGATGAGTGTGCTCTTCTGGTGAATCTACCTTTTTTAGTCTCTGATGGATGTGCTCTGTTTGTGAATCTGCCTTCCCAGGTTGCGCAATCTAAAGTGTTTTCTTTGAGCAAATATCCCTGGGTTTGAGGGATACATATAGGCAATCTTTGAAATCTTTTTTTCTGAGCTCAAAATAATCACTTCCCTTTTGATAGTTGTTATAGCTGTTAAGGCACCCTGGTAACATGTTCAGCCCAATTTGGCTTGTCCTTTAAAAAAGAGTGTGTGGATTCTTAAGAAACATCTAGCTATAAAACTTCTTTATCAAGATCTTTTTCCTTCCACCATATGCCAAGAAGCTTGTGTATGTGTCTTAGGGTTGAAATCATCATTTATTGTTGCTTACCCCTAGAAAGTACTTATAAATATGTGAACTTTTCCTCTGTTTGGAGATGATGTCCATTCACTGCAATGTGAAATTCTTGTAAGAGATTCCTGGAGCTGGCTGGTGCAGGAATATTGAAGATTTACTGGAACATTGAACTTAATCACTCACTGAAATGTTGAACTACTGACTATCCTGAGAATATTTACTTAATGATTCACTGAACTGAATGGACTTAACAATATCTTTTAGGCCACTATTTCCCTTTATTGGCTGGAGTGTCATCATGGAAAATTCTTCTGTCCTTTTTTTTTTTTAACAATTAACCATAGAACTTGTGCACCAATTAACCACATGAGAACTTACATTGAAACATATTTCTCTACTATGCCATTAATTTTGATCAATCTTCTTGGATGTTTTTCACCTATAATATATATTATTATCCATAGATTTTATACAAATGATTTTCTACTTTATAAGCAAACAAATGTTTTGAATGTTTATGGAAGAGATAATGTGCTCTTCTGTTGTTTAAAAAAAAAAGATTTCTAGCTATGAAGCAGTACACAGAATAAAAACATGGGAAGACATAAAGAGAAGAGTAGGTCCCTATAGACGATGTTACATATTTACTCACAACAGCATGCCAGGAGAGCCTGTTGTTGTCCTACACACAGCGCTTACTACTGATATCTCATCTAATATTCAAGTGAGTTCATGTTAATTAATGAAACAAGTATGTCCTTAAATTAAAAAATGTCCATGTCCCTTTGTTAAAAGCAAACATGCAGAGGCAGCATACTTAATGCTCTGCTGTTGTGATGCTATTTTTAGATTTGCCAATGAGTTATATGATGATATTAAAGTGGTATGAACAAAGAAACCCAGTGAATGTTGAAAAATTAAAAATTTGTTAAATGGGTTTTACACGGAAAGCAAGCATTCATATGAAAATATCTTAGTCCTGATAGTGCAGTTTGAACTTTTATAAACTGGTATCAAGTTTTACATCTCACCTCAAGCAATATGTATCACTGAATGAATTTATCACTGTGTGCAGGTGTGATCGAGAGCACTGAGCATTTAGATATTATATAGTTAATTCTTTACTGAAATCCATCTGGCAGAGAGCTTGTGGCAAATGGAATCTTAAGAGACAACAAAATGTTATCACTACTCACTGGTGGTTTCAGTAACAAATATAGTGGACCTTTTTAGTATGAGATGTCATTGTTTGTACAAGTACAAATTGATTGAGTGCTAGAATAGATCATGCTTACACTAGAGTTTTATCTAAAGTGGCTAACCAGGATGCAACTGTTTTGTTTAGAAGTTTCAAGATGTAAAGTAAAATATTTTAATTATAGGGGTTTTACTCTCATATTTGAATAGGGAAACGGTTCTATGTAAAAATCCAGAACTTCTCATCAATAAAATATTTGTATACCTATTGATCACAGACCATTATACCAAATGCAAGAGCTAGGCCAACAGTTTCCCTTGAAAAAAGCCTGGCAGATGCATACGCTCTAGAAGAAGAGATTTCCCCATCGGCCTCTGGCACAGCTGAAAAGACCAATGACAATTTAGCCTCACAACACTATCTTGAGAAAGAAGAACAAGCAAATATAAAATGGGCAATATTTTATTCAATAACTTCAACACAGAAAGGTAATAAGACAGAAAGGTAATAACACTGAAAGGTAATACAACAGAAAAAATATTAATAAACAAAACAAAATATTCTATAAATACTTATGGGCTAAAGTTTGTTCACTTTTCTTATCAAATATTCATAACATTCAGATCAGTTGTTCAAACTTTTTTTAAATTTATAGACACTGAGAAGACACAGAAAAGCTACAGTTTGATCATGCTGGTAGAATGCTTTTAGCAAAATGAACGTAGGTCTCTAGGAATAGGAATATCTATAGTAATAGTTGTTCATCCGTCAAGATCAGTTAGGACCATCTAAGTATCCATCCTGTTAAAGGGGGTGGGGGGATCACTGTGAGTTCATAGTTGGCTTGCTAGTCCAATCCAGGCTCGGAATAGTCTCTGGCACCACAGGATATCTAACACAAGGTATCATGCCAGGGACATCATTTATTCTGATATATTTTTGAACATGCTAGGGCCGGCCTTAGGTGTAGGGTGTGTGTGTGTGTGGTGTGTGTGTGTTGGAATGTGTTCTACTTATCACAGAATGTAGGAATTTATGGGGTGTACCTGTCAATGTGGGCCTTAATGGAGATGCACCTGTGACTGGGGGCCTTTATGTTGATGTACCTTTGAATGTGGGTCTTTATGTTGACCTACCAGTGAATGTGAGCCTTTATGGTGATGTGCCTGTGATTGTGGGTCTTTATGGTGATATACCTGTGAATGTGGGTATTTCTGGTGATTTACCTGTGAATGTGGGTATTTAATGGTGATTTATCTGTGAATGTGGGTCTTTATGGTGATTTACCTGTGAATGTAAGTCTTTATGGTGATGGACCTGTGAATGTGGGTCTTTATGGCGATTTACCTGTGAATGTGGGTATTTAATGGTGATTTATCTGTGAATGTGGGTATTTATGGTGATTTACCTGTGAATGTGGGTATTTAATGGTGATTTATCTGTGAATGTGGGTCTTTATGGTGATTTACCTGTGAATGTGGGTATTTAATGGTGATTTATCTGTGAATGTGGGTATTTATGGTGATTTACCTGTGAATGTGGGTATTTAATGGTGATTTATCTGTGAATGTGGGTATTTAATGGTGATTTATCTGTGAATGTGGGTATTTATGGTGATTTACCTGTGAATGTGGGTCTTTATGGTGATGGACCTGTGAATGTGGGTATTTAATGGTGATTTACCTGTGAATGTGGGTCTTTATGGTGATGGACCTGTGAATGTGGGTATTTAATGGTGATTTATCTGTGAATGTGGGTATTTATGGTGATTTACCTGTGAATGTGGGTCTTTATGGTGATGGACCTGTGAATGTGGGTATTTAATGGTGATTTACCTGTGAATGTAAGTCTTTATGGTGATGGACCTGTGAATGTGAGCTTTTATTTTTATGGGGCTTTGCCTGTGAATGTTGGCTGTCATGTTGATTGACCCAGCTATCCTCAACTTTCCTATTCACACTTCATGTAGTTTTTTTTTTTTAATTAGTCATCACTTTTAAAATAGATGTAGGCATTCATTTAGATCCATGTGTGTTGATTGGTTGACTTTTCAAATGACGTCAGTAATTTTCTTGTATTGGGCTGGTCCTTTGTGCTTAAAAAGAAACATAATTTTCTTCATTGTGGCTGTTATTTTTCATAATAACTGGCCTAAGAAAGTGTAAAATTGTTGACCGAAACTAAAGAACTCCATAGTAAAGACGAGTTACAAGAAGCTTTCTAGAAAAATGTATTTTACAACTCTTTGAATGAAAGCAAATCAATCTAATGCGACTATTCTTTATTCACATGCCTTATTGCTTACTTTTCATAAACTAATTCCAATCATGATATTTCGTTTGATAGGTTTACAAGGAATTGATTTGGGTAATTACCTTATCAAATCAGTTGTGCGGCGGTTGCAAGAAGAGTTCCCTCATCTTCAAAACTTCTTCAGCCTTTCACCAATACCAGGATTCAGGGATTGGATAGTTTCTACTCTTAACCACAGGATTAACCAACACGGTAAGCGTTGATCAAATGACTATTCAACTTTAACAAACAAATACCCCTTGTTTAAAGTTGTTTTGTAATTACTCATATTTTATCCTCTAGTGCTGGGTGGCAGAGGGACCTACACTGACTCAATCCAAATAGTTGGTGGTCTGGAGTTCAACACCCACCAAGCAAAAGAAACATTCCAAGCACTCGGAGTGGATGGGACTCTTTAGCCTTGGCAACTCATCTAAGAGAAGGCAAACTCTGAATTGAAACCAGGAGCCAGAATGATCAATAAATTGATAATTGCCCTTAAATATATATTTTTGTAAAACGCAACTTGTATTGCCTGAATCTAAAAAGTAATAAATAAGCCTCAGTTAAGGACGCCACATCAAAGCATGTAATTTTTTTTACATATCTGCAAATCTAAAAAAAATGCTCCTTTATCAAATTGTTTAAGTAGATTTTTTAGTGTACATCATGATTAAAATACATTTTGCAGTTTGAAGTATATTTATGATTCACTATTGAACTTGACCGGCACAGAGTGGAACTTAACAGATATACAATAAGTCTTTGAAATATCTGTCAATGTTGAATTTTCATTGCATGTGCCTTAAGAACTAATCATTATGAGAAATTAATATAATTTTCCTTTACAGTGATTTCATTGTAAATTTATATCATATCAGTACTTAAAGTTTTAAAAATTTCATTTCCATAGAAAAAGTAAATTTTATTCTCTAGGATTTTCCACAATCTATAAATGTTGTTTAAAGAATTTATGTTGTTTTAAATATCACCAATGACTTGACGGCAATTCCTCACCATGAAATAATAAATTATGCTTAAAAAAAATCAGAAATGATGTCCTAAGCATATCTGAAACATTATTAACATTTTGATTTGTTTCAATCTTAGATTTACGAGAAGATCCTGGTTTTCCTATTTCACTACAAGATTTGGAAGCCCTTGTGCCATATCAAAATGCAGATCACAATTCACTGCTGGACACTTTCAAAGATCAAATTTTATCACACACATGGTACAGAGATCAAACTCTTCAGCGGGTTAGTCAAAACATTAAATACTAACGTATATATTTGTTTTTGTTCTGGTTTTTACAGATACTATCCTTTTTTTTAGTATATTTATATTTTTTAATTGCACCATGTTTTTGTACATGGGCTTAGTACATACTGGAATTTAGATTTGAACCCTAGACTGTCAAAGTAATTTTTTGTACTTTACTTACAGTGCCACAAAGTAACCCCAAATATCTATAAAACTAGGCAAAGACAGTTCAGTGCTTTAGCAGTTACAACCTATTTTGACCATTAGCTCCAAACACTTCATCCATTTTAGAAAGAAAATTAAAGACATTAAGTTTTGAACAGTATTTAGAGTGAATAATTCCTGATGCTTGGTACCTTGAACTTGAAAAAGAAGATACAATTAATAAACAAAAATAAGTTACAATATACAAAAAAATAATGCAATTTTTGTTTTAAATTATTTTTTTATGAGTCAGAGCTAATCAGTGTAATGTGTGCATGGACAGAACATAATTTTATAAAGTTAAGGAAGGAAAAAAATGCATATTAAATTCTGTGTGGCCTTGTAAAATACAATTTTGATCATATATTAAAATTATACTGGTATTACTATTTAAGCATGTAGCTATGTTAGGAGAATTATAAATATCACACAGATTAAGACATTTATAAATATTTAATTTTTGAAAAATTTTGACTCTGTATTGTAAATTATCTTTGTTATTTGAGTATATTACTTTAAGGTAAACTTTTATTCTTAATTAATAACTTATTATTATCTTTTTTCTAAGTGTTCAACAAAATTCAAATCATTAATTAACCTGGATTGTATTTAGAAGGCATTTTAAAGCTTTGTGCATTACCCTTTACATTTATAATGATTTATAAATATAGGCTTTAATGTATTAAATTATTTTATAAAATAAATTTAATTTCCTAATGATCTGGTGATCTAATGTTACAAAATGTTAGCAACAGTGAGTTTTTGTATGGACATTATTGATTGCCATGTTGTATTTTCATTTCTATTGTTGGCTGATGAAGGCTTTATGCCGAAACGTCCTTGTTTTTTGTCCTGTTACCTTATTTCAAGCTTCCACATACCTCGTTTCACCATTTCATTCTTTTACATAGCTTGAAAGCAGTCCCTTCATTTATTTATTCTTGCCATGATTAACTCATTTACTAATTTTCAAGTTTTATATAAAAGAAAATTAAAAGTAATTTATAAACACAATTTAAAAATAAACAGCCAATTTCTTATTGATAAAATTAAACTGTACAATGTATATGGTTTCCTTGGTAAACATTTTTGTTGCTGTTTATTCCTTTTTTAAAACAATTGATGAAGATGTACAAATATATAAATGGATATAGTGCATGATCAAATACAGGAGTATCTTAACTAATTCCTGCTCTGTTGTATATTAATTATTTAAGTTTTTTTTAAAACTAAACATTTCTAATAAAATTTGTTAAATATGTTTTTTTTATTACAGATTATGAGTCCATTAATGAGATTATGTGCGAATTATTTATACATTCAAAAAAGGAGAAATTATGCCTTAAATCCAATGGGTAAGTTGTTTGTTCTCCACAAGACACATCTGTTTGTTCTTCATAAGGCACATCTTTTTGTTTTCCATAAGACACATCTATTTTAGCCAAACTAGCAGGTTTACTTCAGCACAATTTAAATTGACGAAATCAATTATGAATTTTGTGAAAATCAGGATGAAAAAAATGTCAACAAATATCAAAACCTTAAATTGGCAGCATTAAAAAAAATATTTTGACCAAATAAACGCTTACACACTTTAGGAAAAACAAATGGTATAAATGAAATTTATACTGGAGCTCATAGTCAACCAGAATCCAGGGATCCGCTGAGAAACCAGATTCAATATAGCATGGTCTATCTAATAATTAAACATAATTAAATTTATGTCTTCTCTGTAAGCCTGCCAGTGATCAGCAATAAGCCAAAGCCTATCAGTAATAGGCCAAAACCTGTCAGTAATATGCTAAAGCCTATCAGTCATAGGCAAAACCCTGTCATTAATAAGCCAAAGCCTTTCAGCAATAGGCCAAAACTGATAAGATTCAGATAGGTTCCTGATACTTTACTTGTTAAAAAGAAATGGTTAAAATATTAACAAACTTGATTTGACTTTCCAGCCAATTTCCACTTAAGCAATGGAGCTGTTCTAATAGGCCAAAACTGATAAGATTCAGATAGGTTCCTGATACTTTACTTGTTAAAAAGAAATGGTTAAAATATTAACAAACTTGATTTGACTTTCCAGCCAATTTCCACTTAAGCAATGGAGCTGTTCTATGGAGAATTAATTTTCTAGGGGATACATCGATCCGAGGTCTGAATCAATCTTGTGGATTAATGGTTAATTACCGCTACTTTCTTGATTCAACTGAGGCCAACAGTAGGAATTACCTAGAAAAACAACAGATTAGAGCATCAGCCGGAGTGTTGAAGTTGTTGGAGAAATAAATGCGGTGTGCAATTAAATAGGATGAAAATTTAGGAGGTACCCCCAAATTTAAAGTATTGAACATTATTTTGCCATATGCTAAAAATCTTCATAATTTTTATTATGTACTCTCAAATGTAATTTTTGTTTCAGCCATTATATCATGAGATTTTAAGTTATATTTTAGGTTTCTACTCATCTGTTAGTGCTCTTATCCATGTTTACTTAGGCCTAAAAACACTACTATTAAAGCAATTTTTATTTTTACTATTTCAATTCCATTTTAAAGGAGGCTTTTAAATAATCAATTCTTTACAAGTGTATATGTAGTAGCAATCTGTTCATGAAGCTAGTTTGTCAATTTGTGCATCTCTGTAATTGTACTAAGACTTTATTTCAATAAAACCTCTCAATTCCTATTATGTTATAATCAACAGTGACACATTTTGTGTTCTTGATATACAATGTTTAAAATAAAAATGATTACCGTATGACTTTTGCTTTAATTGTACTAAGACTTTATTTCAATAAAACCTCTCAATTCCTATTATGTTATAATCAACAGTGACACATTTTGTGTTCTTGATATACAATGTTTAAAATAAAAATGATTACCGTATGACTTTTGCTTTGCTGTGCGGCATATAAAAATTCCATAATAGTAAAATAAATAATAAAAATTAAGTTATTAACGGGCTAAAAACATGTTATTGTAATTGAATACTCGGACCAAAAAAAAATTTTTTTTTTTAAACCTTCAGATTATCCTAATCAGAAAGACAAAGTGCATGATCATTGGAGGTACTGTTTGGAGTCTGAGGGACTTAATACATCTTAGAATCAAGATTAGGACCTCAATTAAACCAAATGAAATTCAATACATTTGTCAGTGATATATACATATATTTAAGTATAGTTATTACACTAATTCAGTGGTACTCACCTAGGTCGTGTAGCAAAATACACAAATTTGAGTGGTTTTTTAAAATGTTAATCTATTTCTTATTTGTAACACCTTTTGTTTTATATTTAAAATTTGTTGTGGGTTGTAACAACTTTGCAAATGCTATCAATGGGTCGCTGTGATAAAATGGTTGATACCATTGCAATAATTTATTAAATTATGAAATTGTCTGGAAAGTTTTAATAATTGTAATCCTCATATACATATCAAATCACATTTCATAACTGCGGAGCAAGTATGCAATGTATAATCTATGCAATCTATACTCTTGCCTTTTGTTGAACACTAGCCTTGTGTTGTCCATTTGCCTTGTGTTGTTCGCTAGCTTTGTGACGTCCACTTGCCTTTTGTTGCAGACATTTTCATTCTGTTTACATTTTTTACTTCTTGTTACCATGCCTAGTTATGGCTGTAATTTAACCTTATTTTGGTTTACATACGAAAAAAAAGTGTTTGAATGCTTTTATACAAGCAAATACAATTGAAATGACAATTGTTTTGATTATTACGCATTTTCCATATTTCTCTATTATTAGTTAAAGATATTTGGGCCTTCATTCATATTGGGGAGAGTGAAGAAATTATTATTGCAAAATCAAAATTAATTTCATGATGTTAAATGTGTAGAAAAAATAGGTTTTATTTTATTCTGAATTATAAATGCAGAAAAAATATGTTTATTTAATATTATATGTTAATATTTGTATGTGTAGCACAAAAAAAACTGTTGGCACGCATGCAGAAAAAATAGTTATTTTGTTATTATAAGTGCAGAAAAAATATTATTTTATGATTTTAAATGTGCAGAAAAAAATGAATACAATGCAAACCGGTTCTTTTACTACTTTGTACATTTATGTATGTATACATTTCTAGAGGAGAAAGGAATTTCTAAATATGTTTATTGTGCAATTGATATTTTAATTATTTTCTATTAGATAAATTGTTGGCTGAGATAAATTGTTAGCCTAGATACATGTTGCATTTAAAATTTCATGCATTTTAACTTTTGCCATGTTTGATGTATGTCATTCATTCCATTTAACATGTAGGTGTTTAACTTTGTAAAGAGTAAGTGTACACATATTTTGTGTTTCTTTGTGTTGATTGTGGCCAATAATGGAAAAGAAAAAAGCAATACCAATTCCATATTTTCTAATGGGCCACCATCAATGCCATTAGTATATGCTTAATCTGACTTGCCCATATGCTGTGTTTATTTCATTTCCTACTTGGTCACACTCCATCTTCTTTGTGCTCTTTTCACTTTCTCATCTTTTATTTTATGTATTTGAATTCTTCCTTGATTTGTGTTTTAGTATGGAGTAAACTTGAAATGTGTTTTGTAAGAGGTTTTTAGTTCGACAGCCTCTTTCTTCAGGTAGGGATTCCCATAGGCAGCCCAGATGTCTTGCAGGCATTACTACATTGGAATTGGTGGTTGTGTTTATTAATGAATAATTTGAGACAAATGCATGGTAGGCTTGTCTCATTGCTAAGCAGGGAAAATATGCGTGATTGTTTTATTAGCATTTAATATTTTTATTTTATTTTTAAAGTGTAAAATTGGAAATAATAAAATTTAATTTAAAAAAAATACTTGTACTTGTATTGTTCTTTTTTTAAAAAGTGTCTATATTATTATGTAATAATGGGGATTGGGGGGGGGGTATTTCCCCTTGTTTGGTAGGGTTATCTCCCCTTTTGGAACTTTGACTATGTAGAGATTTCATCAGAGACCAGATAGGATCATCCCGGTACCATTTTCATGAAGATCATCTTTGTTGCATTTTCATTATAAGTTTTATGGATATTTGGCCCTGCTTCCTATATAGATCATGGATTAATTTACTTTTAACTGGATTGCTTTCCATAAACATTAAACAAGGATAATTAACTTAATTTGAACTTAAAACGAAAAAATAATTTAAATTCAATTACAGAACATTATATAATACCCTCCTTATTTTAGCAGGATTAATGTTATTTTAAAACTAAAACACCCCTAAAAGTTACCTCATTACAACAGAAACAGTTACCTTTGTACAACAGAAACAGTTACCTTTGTACAACAGAAACAGTTACCTTTGTACAACAGAAACAGTTACCTTTGTACAACAGAAACAGTTACCATTAACCAGAATCAGACAAGTTTACTTTTGAGTGCACACTCCTACTCTTTAGATGGGCAGGGGGCATGTACAAACAAATATGTACAGCCAACTCCAGGGACAATGACTGTTCTAATAGTAGAGCGCTAACGGATCAAACCGGGAACTTAATATCATCGGGGAATGGGATCCCACCGAGAACAGGATCCCAACGAGTATGGAACTCATTGGGGAACGTGATCTCAACAGGAAAAGGGATCCCATCAATGAAATGGGATCCCACCTGGAATAGTATCCCGAATGAGGTTGGGATGCCCATCGGGAAACGGTATTCTTTTGTATAGTATTTGGATCTCACCAAGAGTTTCATGCTCAGTACCGCTTCTGCAGTTTGTTTGCCAGGATCGGGATCCCATATTGGGGAATGGGATCACAACTGGCAGGGGATGCCACTGGGGATCGTTATCCCTTTTGGATTGTATTTTATGAACGTTTTTTGGTGAAAATTAAACAAAAAAATGTCTGTATTTTTTACAGGCTCCTTAATTTAGATATTAGCTAAGGGCTAAGAAAAATTTTCATTGCTGAATGCCATCACGAGCGACGCCCGTGTATTTTGGCTAGTTTTAGGAAACATTAAAATTATGAGTTCAATAACCTTCAGTACCGGTATTTGAATATGGATAATCATGTGTATGGGTACTAAGTTTTATCTAGACCCATCCTAGAAAAAAAATATTATTTTGGCCCTCTATCACAAAACGGAATATCTAATAATGCCCCCCCCCCTCCCCTCCTTTTCAATTTCATTCTTTTTGTGAACATGCTTGTAGTTTGAAATTTTCGTTTAGCATACCAACTGATAAGCGATGAAAAATCTGGCAATGGGGTGAAAATAAAAAAAGAATACAATACAAATGGAGCTTTGGTGGGGGATGTTGGGCCAAAATCTCCGCTTTAGCCCAACTGAAACTCACTAATACTAATTGGAAGACAATAAATACATGACATGTTACAGTAACCAAGTGGGGTTACCTTGAAGTGTTTTAATAATTTTGTTCCATCAGGTAAAAATGACGTTTTTAACATTAATTACCATAACCGCCATTGATGTGTTGAATCATCTGAATAAAAAAAAGAAGATAACATTTATTATAAATAAACTTATGCCCTGAAGTTTCTCTCAATGTGAGTGTGGGAGCTTTAGATTAAGGGGATATTATTATTCAAAAGCCTCCCAGAGTTGGATCATAGCATTTTAATTATATTAATTATTTTTGCCTCCCTAGTTTTATGATGTTCCTAGCTTTTTAGTCCAGGGAAATTTGATTATAAACTGATCCCATTGGACCTCATTGGTTTTTTTTCTACCTCACCTCAGAACCTTCAAAAGTATTGCAGCCACATCACCTTGTAAAAGAGAGACAACATGATGCTGAGCAATCAAATAAAGAAGATCATAGAGGCAGAGAAAAACTCCCTTGTCTTGGAGAATAAACAACAAAGACAGTGGGTGAGAAATTCCATCACCTGGTCCAGGCCTTGTTAGTTCAGAAGGTAGTTATGTTAAAAATTGCTGTTTCTTATCCTAATATGTAGCTCATGCATTGAATAAAATAGATTATTATTTTATTTTCTCACAATATCAAAGTCATATTAATTTTAAGTTTAAGTTTAAATTTTTCTTTCAACAAATATAAAACTTAATAAATAACTTTATCTATTGACTATTGAGATGTCTTTCATAGCTAATTTCTTTAATGGATAATGTATGCCATGGCTAATGTCTTTCATGGCTGATGTCTTTCATGGATAATGAATTTCCTGGCTAATGATTTTCATGGCTATTGACTTTTATGTTAAATTTAATTTTTTTTATGACTGATGTGTCTATTAAATAAACTGTTCTCCCTGTACTTTGATTCTACTTTTTGAGTTAGCCATA